GGAGCTTATGCTCCTTCTTGCTTAGCTTCATTAGGTGTACAGATTTTAGTATGATTATCCTATATTATATATCTAATATCCACTTATAAGTAAGTATATATCATGGTGTCTTTCTGCTTCTGGGATACCTCACTCAAGATGATCTTTTCTAGTTCCCACCATTTGCCTGCAAATTTCATGATTTCCTTGGTTTTAATTGCTGAAGAGTATTCCATTGTGTAAATGTACCACAATTTCTGTATCCATTTCTCAGCTGAGGAACATCTGGGTTGATTCCAGATTCTGGCTATTGTGAATAAATATGCTACAAACATGGTTGAACAAATGTCCTTGTTGCATACTTGAGCATATTTTGGATATATGCCTCGGAGTGCTATAGCTGGATCTTCTTTCATAAGATTCATAAGATCACTTCCTCCTGAGGTAGGGTGGGGGGAGTCTTATCAGGCCACAGAGGAAGACAATGCAGCCAGTCCTGATGAGACCTGATAGGCTAGGGTCAGATGGAAGGGAAAGAGGACCTCCCCTGTCAGTGGACTGAGGGAGGGTCATGGGAGGAGATGAGGGAGGGACAGTGAGATTGGGAGGCCCAAGGGAGGGGGGCTACAGCTGGGATACAAAGTAAATAAATTGTAATAAAAAATAATAAAATTACCGTATTTAGAAAATAAGACCAAGCATATTCCTAATTGTCTGAGAAAGCGCCAGATTGATTTTCAAAGTAGTTGTACAAGTTTACATTCCCACCAGCAATGGAGGAGGGTTCCCCTTTCTCCACAACCTTTCCAGCATGTATTGTCACTTGAGTTTTGATCTTAGCCATTCTGATGGGTGTAAGGTGAAATCTCTGGGTGGTTTTGATTTGCATTTCCCTGATGACTAAGGATATTGAGCATTTCTTTAAGTTTTTCTCTGCCAATCGATATTCTTCAATTGAGAATTCTCTGTTTAGCTCTGTACCCCATTTTTAATTGGATTATTTGGTTTGTTGCTGTTTAACTTCTTGAGTATATATATATATTCTGGATATTATTCCTCTGTCAGATATAGGCTTAGTGAGCCTTTCCCAGTCTGTAGCCTGGTGTTTTGTTCTATATTAAACTATAGTATAGCCTTAGACTTCCACAAACTATAGACTTTTTATATACTAAATCATGCAGGAAACTGTTATGCTCTTGCTTTAATGGACTATGTTTATGACTTTTAAGGCTTCTCGTTAACAGGGATGAAACCTAAAGTCCTACAAATGCAAGTTAATTGTCAGTCATTTCATAGATGATCAAGTCCTTTAACATGTCCAAAAATAGATTTATAATCCTAAAATGCAAAGGTGGTCTCACTGCTATCTTAATTAAACAGCTGAGGATGGTCCCTGAGTCACCATACAGGAGTTGGTAAAACTAGTAAGAGAGGAGTCTTCCCGACAGGCTCATCTAACAGCAGAAACTATGCTCCAGACCTTGGCTGCTGCTCTGAGGCTGTTGGCATTCCTGCACAGAAAACAAGAGGTCTTCAGTGCTCCCTCCCCCCAGGGTAAGGTCAAAAGTCACTGTTTCACGTGCAGCCAGGAAGGATGCTGGCCCCACCGCTGCCTCAGCAAGCCACACCCTGCCTGCTGGCACACTGGCTTCTGGAAGTCAAATGCTCCCATGCAGGCTTGACCTCTTTGCCCAGCCATGGAGGCTCAAACAGCACAAGAGCCACAGACACTTCTAGACTTTGAGCTCTTTGGCCTTGTGGAGGACAAATGGCTCCTAGATTCAGCGACCTCCACCAGCCTTGCCAAGCTCAGATAACACCTCAGGTTTGTTTTAACACCACACTTGGGTCCCATGGTCATATTGCCAGTCTCTATCTTGGCTGATTTCAGATGCCTTCTCAGTTCTCTTCATATGCAGGAGACCAGGCCTTAAGCCTCGGTCCTAGAATCGCTACTTATCAGGCCTAGACACACCATGCCTTGTTGCCAGACTCAAGAAACAGGCATCAGATGTAACCTTTTACCATCCCTTCAGCTAAAGGACAATAAATGTTGATAGCAATCTCACCTATGTCTCATGGTAAATAACTAGATGCAAAGGCCTAAGAAAAATGCTGTTTGAGGGTCTAAAAAAAGTGTTTTAAAGTTGGTAAATGCAAGTTATAAAGGTTGCAAGGTCTAAGGTGATTTAAGGTATCCTAGATAGGTAAAGATGCTTAATGTTTCTTCCTGTTGCTATGTTACTGTTATATTGACTGTCCAGAGCTTTGATTGTTATTTTCAATAGAGCTCTGATTTATTAATATAACTCTATTACAAAAAACATTCCGCTATACCACCCACTATCATGGTTCCAAGCTCATCAAGTCCCACCTCCCTTAGTTTGTCTGTGTATTTGGTCTCTGGCTAACTGATAAGCTGTTGGAACACATTGTACCATACTAACCTACTGAGTCAAACCTTGCCTTGGCAGGTCACTGACTCCTACCTGCCCAATGGGAATTGTCTACTCATCCATTCCTCCAGATTCTTCTCTGGGATGTCTTCTGGAGAATTTCAGATTTCTACACATAGCACCCATTTTAAGGGTCTCTAAGCTTACACACCTCTGTAACCAAACTTGGCCTAAAGTTCCCTTAGATGACAGATCCAAAATAAAGCCTTTTTAATTACTGCCAGTGATTGGGCAAATGGAGGTTCCCTCAGGTAAATGGAGGTTCCCATGTTCAAGTCTCTTCTTTGATCCAAACCTTCCACCTCTGTTCACTTTCCCAAAAGTTTTAAATGTACACCTATAGCAATTTTCTCCATAACCTACTTAACTTTGTCTTCTGCCTATATGTATGTTCCAGTATCCTGTCAGACCCAGGTGTTTCCTACATTCACAACAGTGCCAAAGCAGGTGTTCCAGTCTGACCTCACAGACTTCCATCAAGCTGGACCTGCACTTTTCCTCCCAGCCATGATGTTCTCACAAATCCTGGACAGCATCAAAACAGCCTGTTCTTTCTGGTGTTGGCCAGCATTTCAGCCTTTTGACCTCCCTACAGCAATCTCCAGTGTCAGCAGGAAGTAGCCAGAGGAGAATCTCTGCCTGTTATTCACTTATTATTAACAAAAGGCTGGAATTATGTGCTTCAGGCCCAGGACAAGCAGCTCCAGGTTCTCCCAGCATTCCTCAGTTACTATTTGCTGCAGTGTGTGGCTGGCAACTCCATTCTCTATCCTGAACTTTCCAGGGCAGAGACTTCTTCTCTCCTTACTATATAATATGGACATTTTGGTGGTATTACTTTTCTCTTTCTCTCTCTTACCCCCTTACATGACAACCAAGAACAGCTTCCAATGAACCTACATGTATATATTTTAACTTGCCTTACATGAGAATCAGCCCAAGCTCCTCATTTTTAATTATAGAAAAAAGGAGGAATGCTAGTATGTAGGCACCCTGCTTCTAGGTTGCCTAGCAACCTATGATGTCATCATGTGTCACAGGCCAGGTAGTTGCACCTGGCAGGCATGGTTGAGTTGCTCTGTAAAAGGACCAACCTGCTGCTTTGTCTCTCTCTTGCCTTCTTGCTCTTGCCCTCTCTTCCTCTCTCCTGTTCTCTTTCCTTTCTCTGCTGGGGCACCCTCTCACTCCCCCCATCATGTCTTGCTCTTTCCCTCTCTCTCTCTGTCTCTCTCTTTCTCTCTCTCCCTCTCTCTCTCTCATCTCCATCCAATAAACTTCTTTCATATAATATCTGTTGTGCACCATCATTTCACTGGCAACAACCTTTAGCACTTCCTGTTGGAAGCCACTGTATGTGTGTACAGAGGGCCCAATTGGACTCTTGTTTAGGAGGGTGTAAAAAGAATGACGCTTACAAACTCCACCACAACTCTAACCAAGATGTATGTGCTGCCATCCACAGACTTTCCGAACTATTTTCTCTAGTCCTAGGCATGAAACACAGCCACTTACATAATAGACAAGTACTTTTACTGCTGAGTTATGTTCCCAGCCATTAGTGAACATTTTTAATTAACTGGTTGTCAGATGAATAACTGACAACATAGCCAGACAAGAAAAATGTGATGCACAGTCAAGTATACATAGATAGACTCAGTTAACTCTGATGTGAACCAGTGTCAGGCATATTACTTCTTGAAAGCGCTGGCAGAGATGAACAAGTGGGTCTGTAGGCATGCAGGCCAAGGAAGAAGTCTCCCTTTAGAGCTAGCTAGTTGGGCATCTGTAAATGTCTCAGTTCGGTGATTCTCGATATCTCCCTGAGTGGAAGGAGGGCGCCAGATAATTTGTTTGAAGTGCCTCACCTCTCACAGTACTTAAAAGGAAATAGAGTGGGTACTTCAAAAGTATTTGTTGAACCAATGTGGAATATTATTTAACAATAATATGATTACTAACAACAATATTGTGGTTGCTAACCATAAAAATACCAAATGAGAACAAACGCTTATGTTTTGTTTCATGCTGGAAAGATTTTAATAGGAAAGCCTAATAAGCTCACTATCATATCCTTTTTTCATTTATATTATTTTTGTTAATTATAGTTTATTTACTTTGTATCCCAGCTGTAGCCTCCTCCTTCATTCCCTCCCAATCCCACCCTCCCTTCAACTTCTCCTCGCATGCCCCTTCCCAAGTCCACTAATAGGGGAGGTCCTCCTCCCCTTCCCTCTGACCCTAGCTTATCCAGTCTCATCAGAACTGGCTGCATTGTTTTCCTCTGTGGCCTGGTAAGGCTGGTCCCCTATCAGGGGGAGGTGAGCCAAGAGCCAGCCACTGAGTTCATGTCAGAGACAGCCCCTGTTCCCTTTACTAGGGAACCCACTTGAAGACTGAGCTGCTTTGGGCTACATCTGTGCAGTGGTTCTAGATTATCTGTATGCATGGTCCTTGGTTGGAGTATCAGTCTCAGAAAAGACTCCTGACTTTCCTAATTCTATTCTCTCAGCCATGCTGCAAGAGTCCCCAACAACCAAAGTTCCTCTCACAACCAGCAAAACTCACCTGAAAACGATGTTTGAGTGTGTGCCAATGTTTTTGCCTCCATACATGGTAGTGATCCAGGAAGGGCGTGGCCTCACAGACCACTGTTTATAACAGTCATCAGAGTACTTTTCTAAATCCCATGCACGTGGTTCAAACATGTCGTTGATGCCATTCGTGCAAAAAGGCAGAATTATTTCTGTGCAGGTCTAAAAGCAAACCAGGAAAGGAAAGGAAGTGATGAATTAGCTAAGATCATTCGGCTTGTGAATAGCAAAGCTAGGACCTGAACTTGCAAGTAAGCTTCAGCCTCACACCCCCTGAAAATCCCTGTCATACAACTCCTTATTTCCCCTGGAAAAACATGGCTGAAATGTCACAGAACTGAGAAATGTGTGTTCCTTTCTTTGCAAGAAACATTCTTTCACATCTATGATCATATTTAACCCCCAAGACAATCTTAGGAAAAAAGCATCATCATCATCATCATCATCATCATCATCATCACCATTTATGCTGTGCAGATAAAAGAATGCTGACACAGAGAGAAACCAGTTAGACTTTTTTTTTTTTTTTTACATATCCATGCAATGCCTCCATACCAGGACTTGCCAAGGTCTTCTATAGTGTTAATGTACCTACCTTTCTCACTGTTTGCTGATGAGGTCATGTTATTTACGATTTTATCTTTGAATCATAAGAGAGCCTGATCAGTGACGAGCACTTACTGTGTGCCTGGTGAAGGGGTGGATGAACACATGAGCTTACAGGTAATCTCACAGTGAAATAGCACCTTGACTTAAATGCAAGTTGGGTGATAAACTCTTGCCTGGCTTCTGCTGTAGCACAGCTGTATCCGCAAGGAGCAAAGGCTGCCCCGGAAGTCATACATGCTTACCTGATAGCTCCAAACCCGGGATCCCAAATTGCCAATTGTTGTTTCGGAAATATTATTGCATTTGGACTGGCCTGAGAAATTATAATACACATTCATAGCTTGGTAAATGTTCTGAATCAGCATGGAGTCAGACATGTAGGGATTTGTCAGGTACTGGCAAACAACCTGTCATTTTGGAGAGATAAACAGGGGAAAAGTCAGATACAAATACAAAATTATAACTTAATAACACAAAGAAGAAATGTGATTATAATCTGATCATAAAGCACTCTTAAACGTCTGAAGCCAACCATGGTTATATATGCCTATAATACCACTAGGGGCAGAGATAGGAGTACTACAGGAAGCCAGGCGAGGCTCTGCAGTAATTTCCAGAACAACCCAAAACAAACCTAAGTGTGATCCTTAAGGTTTTTCTGTCTCTTGAGTGTAACTTTTCTAAACAAACTTCATAAACTAATTAAACTCTCCATGCATGGCAGAAATAATGCAGGCATTCACATGTTGTGCAAAGCCCTATCTCCTTACCACTCCAGCTTAATCTGCATGACTTTTCCAGTTTAGGAAAACCAGTTCCCACCACACTCTTTAACTCCCCTGCCCATCCTCAAATCTTTTTCTCACTCCATAATTATATGAATGCTGGCCAACTCATCCTTCACAGTGCTAAGCTCAAATATTCCCTACTCTCTGAGATTTTCCTTATCTGTGTTTCCAAGTTTCAAAGAGCCAAACTGCTCCATCCTTGGTGCTCTGCTATACTCTTTTTCTATTTTTATCACAATCCCTACAATGCTGTCTGTACTCATTTCATTCTACAATGTTTCCTATAGTGCTTAGCAAGGTCTCAGATAATTAAATGTTTGCTGAATAAAAAACTGTTTTTTAAATTAGCATAAAAAGTATTGGGTTTCATTTTGGCATTTCAAACAAGGTTTGTCTCCTCTCCACTTCCCCATAACCCTGCTATTCTTTTGTGCCATATACTCCCATCAGCCTCCTTTGCATTTTCGTGGGTTATATTTTTACAAAAATCGACAAGCGTTACTGTGGGGAAAAAAAAATGGGTCCTAGGTTGGATATCTGTGGTATGATCAGAGGCATATCATGCAATCACCCATCTCACAAATGCTCCTGTCACCAGCCTATAATACATGTCTAAAGTCTAGCTCTGAAAATCAAAGGCAAAACTTTAAGTTAGAAGTCAAAATGGAGACAGCCCAGAGGATGGATGGGAAACTTTCCGAGGTACAGAAATATCTCGTATCTTCATAGGATACTGACTTATATAACCAACACAACACACAAATCTCTGGGTTCTGCTATACGTAGCTCTCTATTCTCTTCAGAAAAGAAGAATTGTGATATATAACTGGAAAGGGGAACACTGGGAACAGAAGAGTACTAGCAGGGATGGAAAGAGAGGAAGAGTGATCAGTATTAAGCATGCATGAAAATGTTATTACAATGCCTGTTACTCTATATGTTAAATTAAATTGTTTAAAAATCATCATAAACTAGGCCTGTGTGTACTGGTACATATCTTTATTCCCAGCACTTGGGAGGTAGAAGCAGACAGATTTCTATGAGTTTAAAGCCAGCCTTGGTCTACATAGTGAGTTCCAGAACAGCCAAAGCTACATACGAAGAACCTGTCTCAAAAAAAAAAAAAAAAAAAAGAAAGAAAGAAAGAAAAGAAATAATAATGATGATGATGATGATGATAATAAAGGCATCATAAAACAATATTGAACTCTAGTTGGTAATACAAAACTTCAATTATTTAGGGAGCGTTGTCTATAATTTATCTTGAAGTGTATTAAAAATGAGATGAGCAATGAGATTGCTAGGTGAATATGCATGTGATAAGTCAAATATACAAATATTATTTATAAAACTTAGGAGTAAGGGCTAGAGATATAGCTCAATGTTGGAGACTTATTTCAAGGTAAGTTTGTGGCTGGTCACTGTCCAATATTTTTCAACTTTTCTATATATTTGAAATACTCCATAATAAAACATTAGGGAAAATTCACAAACAGTGAAATCATAGCTGAATCATAACAATACCTACTGATTATTAGAACCAACATATTATCTCATTCTCAAAATCACCTACCCTACCAGATAGGTTATTGTCCACTACTTCGCCTAGAAGAAATTGACCGTGAGGTTAAATCCCTTTATTTCAGTTCACCAGCTAGCAAAGGGTAAAACTGCAATTTATTCCCACGGATCTCTGCTTCTGAAATGGACGTGCTATCCACTGTGCTGTCTCATAGGAAAATGCCTCCTCATGGAAAGACAGACAGCTCCTATGACAAAGCCCCTCGGTCCACGTCATATCCTGTCAACACTCTGACATGGCTTCAGTCAACTATTCACTTCCTGTTTCATACGGAAAAAGTATATAAAGTAGGCAACTCTGATCAAAAGATTAGTCAAGGGAGGGAGGCAGGGAGGAAGAAGCTCTGCTCTTCTCCCTCAGAGAGAGATTCTGGAGGGAGAACCAGGCCTGGCCTAGAGACACACCCCTGGTCAAGAAAGGAAGCTAATGAAAAAAAAAATTGTCTAGCCCTCCTCGCCATGCTGTCTCAGGCTAGTGTCCATCACTACTTTTCTAAAAATGGCGGGAAGTTTGAAACCATAGGAGAAATAAATTATAGGGGAAATTCTGTGCCTCTTTTCGGCAATATTTCTCTCTTTGTCTCTCTGTCTCTTGCTGTGTGTGTGTGTGTGTGTGTGTGTGTGTGTGTGTGTGTGTGTGTGTACCAAAGGTTCACCTCAGGTTTCATACTCAAGAACGCTCTTCACTTTCTTTGAAACAGGGTTCTATTGGTCTGGAGCTCATCAGTCAAGCAAGACTATCCCAGGCATCCTGCCTCTGCCACCCCAGCCCCAAGATCATAAGCACAAAGACAAGCTACCATGCACAGCATTCTTAGATGGTTTCTGGGGATCGAAACCAGGTCTTCATGCTTATAAAACAATTCACTTTGCCAAATGAGCCATCTCCTCAGCCCACTCACCACAATTTTTCTATGGATTATTCATTGGTACTTTGTGTTCTTAGAATCAACTTTAAGAAGTCATGTATTAGCAAACATGGAGGGATGCCTCTTCTTTCATGTTTTGTGTGCATGTGTATGTGTGTGTGCATTTGCATGTGTGAGACATACATCTGTGTGGGAGCATGCATGCACATGTGTGTAGGTACATGTGGAGGCTGAAAGCTGGCATTAAGCATCTTCCTAAATCCTCCTTCATCTAACTCACTGAGGCAGAATCTCTCAAGTGAGCCTGGGGCTCACTAATATGGCCTATCTAGGCAATCACCTCAATCCAGGGCTCTACTATCTGCTCCTTCTGAGTGCCAGAAGGGCTTATAGGTTTAGAAATTCTGAATGTAGGAGAAATCACAAAATACAATATCTGAAAAAGTAAATATACCTTTAAAAAAAAAAAAAACCATGAGAGCTGCATATAGTGGCACACAGCTTTAATCCTAGCACTTGGGAGACAGAGGCAGATGGAGCTCTGTCAGTTTGAGTCCAGCCTGGTCTACAAAGCAAGTTCCAAGACAGCCAGAGATACACAGTGAGATCCTGACTTAAAACAAGACAACAATAGCAAAGCTATGAGGACAAGCATATTAAATCAGTGGGTAAATCTACGTACTGTAAGGCCTGAGTTTGATCTGAAGGACCCACATGGCAGAAAGAGAGAACAACTTCCAGAAGATGCTGTAGCATACACACCCACAGACACATCACACACACACACACACATACACACACACACACACACACACACACAAATATCTAAATAAATAAAGGTAAAAATTTAAAGATTTATTTATTTATTTATTTATTTTATGTATACGAGTGCTCTATCTCCATGTATCCCTGCACCAGATCTCAGTATAGATGGTTGTGAGCCACCATGTGGTTCCTGGGAATTGAACTCAGGACCTCTGGATGAGCAGATGGTGCTCTTAACCACTGAGCCATCTCTCCAGCCCCTAAATGTAAATTTTTAAAGGAAAAAAAAATAACTGTAAGATCATAAATATTCACTGTGCCCATGCATAAAGAAGTAGACCTGCACAAAACTGGAGGTACGGACTTGTTACACCATAAAAAAATGCCAGCTAAAGGAAAGTTAAAAGTCAAAACAGTGATTTGTTATTCTGAAAAACTCTCTAATTATTCATGGAAATTCAAGTTACCTAACACTTAAAAGCAGTTTTCTCAAAAAGCATTCCTAAGATGCACAGCAGTTACAAATAACCAAGCGGTATGGAAGCCAAGAGTCTATTACAGGATATACTAAACCAGCCCTCACCAACAACTGACCCCTCCCGCCTCCTTCCTGAATCAGGACGGGCTCAGCAGACTCAGCTCTTTCTAAGGCCATCACGGAACTACAGGGTAGATTCAGAGGAAAACATTCTGTTCGAGCTGCGTGGTGGATGAGGCCAGCAGATGATGCAAGCTAGTCAAGGAGAAAAGAGGGGCTGATGTTCACGTATCTAAAACCCCTGAAAGGCACAGTTGCAAGTGGGCATGACTCATATACTGGCATTAGACACTCCCGCCCTCTTTTGCAGCAGGAACACTGGGCCTCTGTTGAGGAAAGAAAAGGAGTCCCCATGAATAGCCATCTCTGTAAAGAACAGTTGTCGTCCCCGAAAAGACGCAAGCGTGGCTGGAGGCTGGCACCAGATAACAATGCATGGGTATCTGCAGACCCAGAACATCAGGAGCAGAGCCCCGGCCTCTGCTGATAGAAATCCCATAACCCAATTAAGGGCAGTCCTGGGCCCAGTGCCCTTCTGATGGCAGATGCTCCTGGGAGGCTTGGGTTCAGTTCTGACCACCAACACTTCTGAAGGACACTCACCAGTGTAAAACAATTCACAGAAGGGCGGTGAGGCTACGTAGCTGAGGACCAGACAGAGCCTAGAGACTGGTCATTTGAAACATTGCAACCTTTTATTTTTATTGGTAAAATAAAAACTGTACCGCTCTATGGCTAAATCTTTACCCTTAATGACTTCAAGATAAGTTCTTACAGGAGTTGCTGGTTCCTAAGAGACAAACATTGTAAGCCTTTTGCTAGATCCTGTCAAGCTGCCTTTATATGAAGGAAGGACAAATCTATAGTCTCCTTGTATAGTATTTAGAATGCCCGAAGCTTCAAAAAGCAGTGCTTCAATAAGGGCAGGGCCTCGGCACCATTTCATGATTACTCACAAGTACAGTGGTTCAAAGGGAGATAGTCCCACACTCTTCAGCCTGATGTACAGTGTGCACAAAGCACATACAGAACAAGTCATCGGTAAACCGTCTGAAACTGTCACGCTTTTAAGTCAAACATTAGCAGTCTTGTTACAATCTCCTGGGATGCCTCAAGTGACTCTTGATAGTTTGCCAGTATTAGCCAACTCATCAATACAAGCGTGTTCACTGTTAGTTACTTACTGAGGGGCTGTAATCTAATTAGGCAGCAGAAAGAGACCCCAAAACAATACAACAAACACTTCTCGAAAGGCTTCACACACAAATATTCCTTGCATCATGCACCGTTTGTGTGTGTTGTTAGATTTGTTTGGAGGGTTTGTGTCTGTGAGTGTGTGTCTATGAGTGCGTGTGTCTGTGAGTATGTGTCTGAGAGTATGCATCTCTGTGTGTGTGTGTGTGTGTGCGTGTGTGACAGAGAGAGAGAGAGAGAGTCATTCACCATATTGCCCAAGTTGCCTTCAAACTTGCAGTCTTCTCGCTTCAGCCTTCCACATAGTTAGGCTTCCAAGCCTGTGTCACCAGGCCCAGATTTCACATTTATCATCATAAAAACATGCTTTTAATTGGTAGGTTGTTTTTACATTTTTTTTTTAAGTTTGCTTTCTATTTATTTTTTAAAAACTTAAGAGTAGCCAGGGGTGGTGGCAGGCAGATCTCTGTGAGTTTGAGGCCAGCCTGCTCTACAAAGTGAGTCCAGAACATCCAGGGCTACACAGGGAGACCCTGTCTCAAAAAAATAAAATAAAAATAAAAAAAAAGAAGAAACCTTAAGAGTCATTTTGTTGCTTTATAAATTTAAATATATATGCACTAGTTTAAAAGAAATTAAAATGTTAGATTAACAGAAGACTTGGTGCTAGCCACTTGAATCAAGCAGACCTAATTAACTTTCTTTTTCCTAGGATAAGTAAGCACTCAAGAAACACTCTTAAAAGAATAAGAGACTGGAAAAGTGCCTTAGCAGTTAAAAGCATGTGCTGCTCTTGCGGATGACCTGGGTTTGTTTCCCAGCACCCACAGCTAAAACCATCCATAAGTCCAGTTCCTGAAGTTCTGTGCTCTCTTCCGAACTCCCTGGGCATCAAGTATGCACACAGTGTGCGCGCACACACACACACACACACACACACATAGACGAAACAATCTAAGGAATAGTTTTAAGAACATTGGAAGTCCTTTTTAATAATTACAGTTTTTAAAAGTACAGAAATGGGCTGGAAAGATGGCTCAGTGCTTAACAGCACTGACTGCTCTTCCAGATGACCTAAGTTCAGTTCCCAGCACCGACATGGCAACTCTCAAGTGTCTGTAATTCCAGTTCCAGGTGTCCAACACCCTTACACAGATATGCACGCAGAACAGACACCAGTGCACATAAAACAAATTTTTTAAAGTACAGAAATAGTGTAGAGGCCAGTTGTATTGGCACAAGCCTACAGCCTCAGCTCTAGAGAGTCTGAAACCGGATGGTCACAAGTTCCAAGCTAGCCCAGGCTACAAAGCTAAACTTTGTTGCAAAAATACAAGGGGTGTAGAAGTAGAACACTCATGCAATGTGAGACTGGTCAGACCTGCACTCCAACCTGAACTGCCCTTTCTGCCAACACATACGCAAGAATGTAAGGATAAGGGTTTGCTTGAAAGCCTTAGGTACCTGTACCTAGGAGGATAAGCATTTAAATTAAAAAAAAAAAAAAAAAAAAAAGGTGGAGGCAAGGAGAGGTAGGGTAAACATACGATTCTCAAAAGAAGATAGTCTTAAAAAACAAAAAGGTCAATCTTCTCTCCAGAGTATGGTGCCTCCATCCTTCCATTAGAAGAAGGATTACCAATACATTCAGCTTTTAGACCGGATTTTTTTTTTCTCTAAGGCTCCAACATCCCTTTCACACTACCTCAGATAATCACATTAGTTTTGTCAGTAAAAGCTCTCTTTTCATAGGATGCATCTAAACCGCTTAAACCACCCAGAGAGACTGCATACATTATCAAACACCAAGACAAACGGAAGAGATTTCCCCTTTTGTGTCTTACTATTTCACCGTGTGTGTCTGCATCTCGGAAGACTAAGCTAAGAATGGGAAGATATCTGACTGGTTTATCAGCTAAAAGAAGGACTACAAAATTTAAGGAACGACATGGCCTTCTTTTAAAATGCTTTTTAAGCTAAGAAGAGGCGTGGTGGTTTTTAAAGTGCCCAGAACGGTCAAATGACAGAGGGTTTTCTATTTCCTTTTTCTCTTCCTCCCTGTGTTCCGCCAGCCAAATCCATGATTATTTCTGCATGACTATTGCGGCTTCTGTTAACGGTAAACAAAAGCAAATAGGGACAATGTGCAAAGACAAATTAGAGAGAAGCATAGCTGAATTGACGTGGAAAACGGCATTTAGTCACTGCCCAAGGAAACTCTAGAGATGCACAAGCGACAGTCAGATTTGGAAATAGCCTGCTTTCTCCGACAGTCGGACTGTTATCTCGTGGCGCTAAGCCTGAGTTACAGACTCAGAAAAGGCCTGCTGATTGTCAGCCTTTTAAAGAGGAGGAAGTGCATCCGAGGGAGGAGGAGTTCTGGCTAAATGGAACCATCCAAGTGAAAGAGCAGTCCCCAGCTGGGTAGTGTTCCAGGGATTAGTGGGTTGAGAGGACAGATAGGGTCAAGAAAGGAGAAACAGAATGAGCAGAGAACAGAGAGCATCTGAAGCCAGTTGAGGAGCAGGCGCAGTGAGAAAGAATCTGTGGAAAGGAAATGTGTAGCTAGCTGTGGGAAGAGAATCAACAGGCAATGGGGAGGCTTGCAGAGCAAAGGCAAGAGAAGTAGTTTTTGTTTAAGGTGGACAGTTCTAGACCACCCTAAGCTACAAAGAAAGCGAGCTTTGTCTGTCCCAAAATAGTAATAATAACTTTGTACTATCAACATCCAGCCTAATTCACTGCATGCTAATTTCCAGTCTGTTGTGGACAAGATGTTCACTTTGTGTATAAAGAAAAACAACTCCGAAAGCAAGTGAATTTACTTTGTTTTAATTACATTTTTAGGAAAGGAGTAGTTTTAGTAGTTTAGTGAGACAGTTAGAAGAGCTTTTGAAACTTGGCTCTTATATAATCAATTAAAATTTCATTTGCAGCACCCATTCTATCTGTGGAGTCAAAAAATCCTCAAAACATAACTCTCCTTTGTTTTTTAAAACTCTTATTCTTAACAAGAGAATACTTTAAAGGCATATACAGTAAATGATACAGGCAACAAAAGAATCTTTCAAATTATAAAAAGTCCTTAAGTTTACAAAGTGTTAGCGCATTTGTAGAAGCGAAAGTCAATGTGTTTACATTTCTCGGGTCCATATTATTAGTAAAGGCATTTGAAAAAACACTGATATCTGTTCTTCTGAGGCACACAAGGCAAAGACAGAGCAATTCAAAAAGGAAGAGCACCTTATCCAGGTTGCTGGGGGATAAGCAGCAGCGTGGGGCCATGACCTCTAGCACCTAGATGGTATCTTTTCCATTCTGCTGCTCAACGTATGATCACCCGTCATGGTGGGTAGCATGTAGAATGTTTAGCAGCTCACTGAGTAATCATCAAGTTTCTCCCATGTTTTGCATACATTTAGGCATGATAGATAGATCACAAAATTAGATAAGTTACATATCCAAAGCACAGCTCGGGATTTAGTACACAGCAATTATCCAATTAACAGCAACCATTGGTCTCATGGAATAATTGATATTTTTATCTTCGGTTCTCAGAAGAGGAACCTAAGGCTAAGAAAGGCTATCTCAAATGCCCAAGGTCACGTAAACAGAAAAACAGCTGACCTCAGGATGCCAGCCCAGAATTGCTAGCTGAACAGAGTCCTCCATCATTGTGTATCTTCTTCTGATGAAAGACAGAAAGTAGTTTATAAATGAGGACGGGGCACTATCCTGTTACCTTGATAGGCCACGCAGGCAAAGGCTTTAAAAAGTTGGCTGGGTATGGGTAGTTCACCATGGCCAGGTTGACCCAGGTCTCGGAGATCCAGTCTTTCAGGCGTTGGATGTCCTCAGAGTTTAGGGGGGAACACAGGTGAAAGGTTCTCGTGAGCCACAGTAGACCACTGCCTGGAGACAAAATGACATCGCTGGAACCTGAAACACGCTAGTCAACAGGCGGCCACACAGACCTCTCATCCTTCCCTTTGAGTTACAGAAAATGTGACTTTCTATGCCACTTCACCAAGAATTTTTGCGCCATTCAGCAAAATGCTTTACTGCAGTCTGATAATTCCATGGCAGGCAAATGAAATTTCATGGTGGGGCTTACTGAAATTAGTATTTCTTTACCGCTTCTCATTTTAATTTAAAACATTTAACATTTACTTAACTTAAAATAAATACATGGGAACGCTATAAAACAATGTGAATGGAGAAGTAACAACATAAAACAAATAGATACAGCTAACATTGAACAAAAGATACCAAACAAAAAATCCCCACAAGTGTGTGTGTGTGTTATATATATAGCAAAAATCAAATTCCTGAAAACTTCAAGAACAAGTAAAATCTACCTAAGATGAAGGCATGAGAATAATGATGAACAATGCAAGTGTACCAAAATGACTAAGAACGCCTTCAGATTTCTGAGAGCCTGAAAATGCTCTCTGTTGAGAACGGATGGGAATTACATCAAGCAACTCATCAGCCCATGCATTTTGATTTCTTTTATTTTCAATATTTATATTATGCTTTTATAACATGTGGCTTAAAGGGGGTTGTGAAAATATGGCTCAAAGGTTAAGAGCACTGGCTGTTCTTTCAGAGGACCCAGGTTCAAATCCCAGCACCTACATGATGCCTCAAAACAATTTGTAACTCCATTTCCAGGGAATCAGATGCCCTCTTATGACCTTTGAGGACATCAGGCACACACATGGTACAAAAATATACAGGCAGACAGAATACCCATATACATAAAATGTTTTTAATTAAGTAGAAATATTGAACAAATGAAGTTCAATTTAAAAAACAGTATAAATCTTTTCTTTTAGGTAAAGCTTACCCGTATTTGAGAGTCGGTTAATGGCACCCCAAGACCTGAGGATGCTCTCTGAACATTTTACACCACTTTTTCTAAAATCTTCAGTTACAATCTTCATAAACACACCGCAGGGAATCAACTCTGCAAACTGCCAGATAGGGGCAGAAGCTGCAAGGGCTCTAAATGTTCAGGAAGATGGGAGGAGAAAGGAAGAAAATGTAACTTGCCTAAGTTTTAAAACAACAGACTCAAGCCAGACAAAACTCTAGCATGGATCGGGGGTCGGGGGTGGCCTGAAGTCCCATCACTAACGGGCAATGGATAGTTGCTAGGAGAGGGAGAGTCAGTTTATCTTTAACAGTGTGGCCAATGGTAGGTCAAACACACTCCAGTAGACGGCCACATACCCAGGAGTATGTGGCAGCACAAACTGGACTTGATGTGTGTAGGGAAGGAGAAGAAGAGAAGGAACTGGAGGAGAAAGAGGAAGAAGAGGAAATACAAAGTTGTGTAAGTGGAGAAGAAGGGATGAATCGGGGAGGAGCTGGAAGAGGAGGGTGAAAATACATTGTACAAAAGATTCGACAACAAATAAGAACTAATAAAAAGCTGCAAAAATCAAATAAAAATACACATTAAAAATAATTTCTAAAAAATAAGATGGAACTGAGCCTTAACAAGATGATTAGCTAAATAGCACAGATGTTAATGAGATTCCAGAAACATCTATCCAACATCATGAAACATGCTTTACCCCAAATGAATCTCTGCGTTTGTCTTGATCGTGCTCATGGTTGGGTCCAGCGTAAATGCACCTACCCAACTACCAAGTGAGGATATTTCATCCTGAACCAGGCTGCAAGCACGCCGCCATAAGAGCCCCCAATGGCGATGACAGGCTGACCATCTGCTCCTGGAACTGTTCTTTTCAAGTGTCTGATTAACTCTGCAAAATCAGCCAGAGCCTGTTCTGAGGTCAGGAAGTTCAAGTGCTTGGAATCCTGTGGGTTGAAAGGATGGGCACAGGTGTAAATGTGCCCACATTTACCGATTAGGCACAGCTTAGGTCCAGAGTGGAGCTTGAGTCATGTAAACATTTTTCCAAATAGGCTTTCCAGGAAGTTGAGTCAAAATGCCAAGTCAAAGCACGGGTTCAATGTTTTCAACAAGTCACAGAAAGTGATTTAAGTTTGTAGAACATAACACTTTTGCATTAAATGTAATTTAATATCTCTCAGTTTAATATCTCTCTGTGTATGTGTGTCATTTACTGAAGAATGAAATACAAAAAGCAAGGCCAAGAACACATCTTTAAACATGACTTTTCAGCAGCAGACATAACATGACCTATTTAATTAAGGATTTTTACCACAAGTATTCTGGTGCCACAGAACTCATTTTGTCAAGAAATTTAAACAATTATTTAATGTGATTTATGATTTTTAATTTTAAATTTGTAAGGCTTCTTCATTTGCCTTGTCACAAACATAAAACAAGTGTGCGTTTATAAAAACAGTCCACCTGGGAATGACAGAGACACTGTACAGACGTTTCCCGTGGAAACAAAGAAGCATTGTCAGGCCGCAGCTCTTTACTTGCCTGTGTGGCAGTGGTTTTGCCATGAGAGACTCACCGTCGCCCAGTGTACACAATGTTGGCCTGGAGAGAAAAACAAACCACAAGCACCAAGGCCATCCCTGAAGGTAACCTTCCCAAGCCAGCAGCTAGCAAGGACAGACAGGGCTTGTTTTGTGGACGGATGTCAATGAGTTTATGAGGTTTGAAGGGTAACTTTGATTCTGAAATAAAAATAATATTGCAGCAAGAATTGTCACGGTGGCGTGTCTGAGACACTTTTTAAAATTGCTGCCACGTTTCTGACTCTGAAAACATGACTCTCCTTCTTGTCTGATGTTTACCAGTTCTACCTAGACAGAGCCTGTTTTTCTTCAGTACTTTTACACAAACACACAACTTCAAAAACAAAAATTTGAAACAGTTGCCAAACCCCAAGGCCTTCTAGCAGGAGGAAGCGGCCTGAAGGACTTTGGAGTTCTAGTCTAACTGTCAGACAGAGGCAGCAGACAGAGGTGTGAGGTGGTAGCATAACAGGGAAAAGTTCTGACCCCAGGTCCTGTGCTAAAGAATCCACAGGAATCTAGAGTGAAGAAAACTCAGGACCCGGAGAGGCGTGTGCCCCTCTGCTCCTCTATCCCCGTTACCTCTCATTTCAGGACCTGGAAGTCCCGGTCACCAGAAGCATTCAGACAACCGTCAACTCTCCCAGGCCAGTGGCCTGGGACTCCAGGTTAGGAACTGCTCCACCAAGTGCTGTCAAAAGCCAAGGGTCCCAGTACCCAAGATCTGCATGGGGACTGAACGCGTGGAGCTCAGTTTCCCCAGACCCCAAAGCCGGCCAGGGTCTGCCGCAGCAGAGGTTGCGTCTTGCTACTGCTTTTGCCCGGCTGTGGCCATTACTCACTGCCCTTAGACACTGAAGGAAAATAAAATCTGCCAGAAACCACCATTCTTACCCCACCCACAATTACTATCCGGGTGAGGAAAAACAGAAAACAAAAACAAACAAAAAAACCCAAACCTGTGTCTGGTGACAGTTGCACATACCTGTGGTCCCTTAAGAGGCTGACAAAGAACAGTTGTGAGTTTAAGGCTAGAATGAGCTATGGAGTGCTGCGCTGTCTCGAAAACAATAAAGAGGGGGAGAAAGAAGGAAAAGAAAAGTATGAACAGAGCTGGGGATGTGGGTCTGTGGGAACAGTGGTCGCCAAGAACGAAGCCCCGGGTTCTGCCGAAGAACCACAGGAAACCAGGCACGCAGCCTGCTGTACAGCAGTAATCTCAGGCTTGAAGGTGAAGGCGGAGCACCCTGGGATACGTGAGACCCTGGCCGACCCCCCAGAAAGGACAACCTTGAAGAAAAATGTGTACCTACCTTGTATGAGTCCTCGCCGAAGGGAAGGGATTCCCCGTAGTATCGATGCTCAGCAAAGACCAGCAAAGCTTTCAGCTTCTCAGCAACGTCCCACATGAACCCCTAGCAAGAATGCACGAATCCATAGGTAAAATTAGGTTATAAAAAAAAAAAAAATCACGTTGAACTTTTACAGGCCAGGAAGAGTTCCCTGAAAAACTGGGCGATTTATGTATGCACCACAGATAGGTGATTCTTGTTCCACTTCTGAAAGTCACACCATACGACCTTAGAGTGTGACAAATAAAGACGGGTTCTGTAGCCAGGTATGGCGGCAGCACCTGTACCCTCAGCAATGGAGAGAGAGACGGAAGGATGCCCCGGCCCCTAGGACAAAGCCGACCTGCACAGCACAGCAGCATCTATACCCGCCTGGGCTGATGAGCCTGTCTCAGAAAACAAACAAAAGCAAAGCCTAGCCTTCCGCTGTCCATGCACCCCAACTGCCACCTCTTCTGATACCCACACTAAACACCCTTGGAATCTTAATCTTGTATGTTAGGAAATTAACAGCAGCTAACAGCACCTGTTATAATGTGTCAGTACCATTCTAGCCACACATGAAATAACTCACTTATTTAGCACAATAAACAAGAATCAATCAAGCACTGTGGTTATACAGGCAAGGACACTGAGACACCAGGCTCAGTGCTCACCCAGGTGGCAGAGCCAAGACTGAAACACAGGCTGTGATGCAGAGTGGGCATCAAGGACCACTCGACTTCCTTTCTCCACACTGACGGCTCCTACTATCATTTGCTGCCCCTTTCCCTTTGACTCGATGGTGCCCTCCTCATCCTTCCTAGGAAAGCATCCAAGGCAGACAGCATTAATTGATCAGAAAGTTTAGCACGGATTAAAGCCTGATGAATGTTGCTGGTGTTTAATAAGTTACTATTTCCTAATGAGGCATAGGAACCTCAAAAAGACTTTGGTCATTTTGACCAATCCGTAAGAAATTAAAGGAGCCATCTTCGGGGATAATGGACGTGTTAGCCTGACACCTGTGGTTTTCAAGATGCCACTTCTCTTTCGAGGAGCTACTCACTAATGCCGCACATCCCAGGTCCAGCCAGGAACAGTATAACTGAGCCACACCAGCTCAACTTCTTGAGCCACACCCAGCTCAAGCACACCCTCCTCTGCATGCCCTGCCTAGCAGAGCTGTCCATCTCCCCTCAACAGCAGAGTGCTGGCAAGACCTCCTCTGCCTGCTGCAGCAGGAACTGCAAGTGTCATAAGAGTAGGAACAGACCTCTGTGGGATTGACCTCAGGCTTTGGCAGAAGCAGCTGAACTGAACAGATGCATGATTCAATTAGGGAGTGTTTGCTTACATCTCAAGGGCAATTTTATCTTTTGTAAAAGGACTTAGTAATATATTAACATCTATTAACGCTATACTTCTACAAGTTCCTTGATTTTCTTTTTGGTTTTCCAAACACTAGGAAATAGCTCTCTTATCATACCCATTTAACAGATGAGAAGACTGAAGTGTAGAGCTAAAAGCTTACCCAAACTCAATCAAGCAAGTAACAAAAGTAAGAACTGAAGCCCCTTGCATCTGGCTAAACTATCTCCCAGGAAGATCTGTACACAGAGGTGCACATGCAATTGCGAGATTTCGGCTTGCAAAGGACGATGTTTTAAAACCAGGGAGGGCAAGCCTCTGCCCTTCCAGTATCTCCTTCTGGTCAGTTTTCTGGAACTGTTCCTACGTTGAGTGTCTTTTCATTTCAGTTGCTTCCTCCCAACCCCCGCCATGAGCCTTAACTCCCACTGAGGAGCCTGTGCAGGATCAGGGTTTGCGGGGGCCGGATGGACTCTGTGCCTAGATTAAAGATCTGGGAGATGGGCAGGAGAAGTTGCCCTGTGGCTCCAGCACAAAAGGGAGGTCACATCTAAAGAGAAAAAAGAGGCTGCAGTTCTGGTCTCTCGCAGAGGAACAGCAGGAAGCTTGTGGGAAGTGACTGACCACTTGTTGCTGACCTTGTCCTGGATCTCCTTTCTTCAACTTTCAACGTATTTAGGCTCTTAACGGTTGTAAGCTGGGGGGGGGGGGGGGGAGCATTATAAATGGGGAACTCAGGAGCTTGTCTGAATTCACGTCTCTGTTTTTTTCTTTGAATTTCTTACTTTAATTTTTCTTTATAATTTATTCATTCTATACCGAGACTGAAGGTACCTCCCTCAACTCCTCCCAGTCCCACCCTCTGTCTCTCTTCCTGCCTATCCCCTTCTGCCAGTCCGCTGAAAGTGGGAGTTCTCCTCCTCTGCCATCCGCCCATCTGCCCAGAGCTTATCAACTCAGCTCTCCAAGAAGGCATTTTCTGAAGGCTCCTGAATACCAGCACCGTGGCAAACACTCCCGTTCTAGGTGATGTGATATTCTCCACTTTACCATAACTCAGCCTTTATAGAATTTTGATGATTTCTACTCACAGTCCTGACACCCCAAGAAGGATGATGTCATATTTTCACATGCACTTAAGTTTTGTTTTTCAAGACATGGTTTCTCTGTGTAGCTTTGGTTGTCCTGGACTCACTTTGTAGACCAGACTGGCCTCATACTCACGGAGATCCACCTGCCTCTGCCTCCCGAAGTGCTGGGATTACAGGCGTGAGCCACAGGGTCCAGCTATACTAACTTAAGTTTTATTAATGGATTTTAAGTATGATAAAAGGTGACAGGAACACAGGCTGAGAAGCAAGCTAATGGTCCTACTATGCTAATGCATAGTCAAGAGGACTCTGTTCCACTCAATGGAATTATAAGTGAAAAGAGCAAAATTCTATTCTCAGAAAACTGAATTTTAAGTTAAAAATTTTTTATTTATTTCTAGAGTGAAGAATCTAAGGGAAGATGGTATAGAAATGCTATTACATATAGTGTAATAACATAGTAACAGCATTTTTTTGGTGGGGGTCTTTATAGACTTATCTATTCGTGTAAATTTGTTATTTGTTGAGCTATTCGTGAGTTTATCTTTCTATTCAATAACTTTATAATTAACAACAATAGTAGCTTGACCTGGTAGCACAGGCCTATAACCCCAGCTATGTGTGGGCTGAGGTGAGAGGATTGCAAACTCTACCTCAATTACAGTGAGCTCAAACCACCCTGCACAGCACAGTCAGACCACGCCTCAACTAGAAATGAAAAGAAGCCTCGGGATGCTGCTCAGTGGTAGGGCACTTCCCTGCCTCTGCAAGACTATGAATCCAATTCCCAATGCCACAAAAAAAAAAAAAAAAAAAACAAAGTTTAGTGTCTACAACCCATCATAGTAAAAGTCAATTTGCTTAAGCAGACCTTCCCGGATGTGCACATACCGTACGATTCGAAAACCAGGTAATGTCCCCTTCGTTGCCAGTGTAGAAAAGTATAACACCATCATATGTCTTCCAGTACTTATCAGATATTAGGTACCGCTGCTTAAAAGTTTTTGTATTATAAAATCCAAAATGATCAACCTACATTTAAAAACAAAACAGATGAGACACATTTCAAAGAAAGTAATCAGGTTTAGCATAAAAAGTAATTGACTAAAATCAACCTGGATCATAAAATAATCAAAAGAAACTTTAAACATCATTTGGTTTTATTCTCAATAGTAGCTATTATAGTAATATTTCTATATACAACATCTTTTGAAACATGTGTACATTGTGGCATAGCAAACGGATCTAATTGCATAAGCATTACCTTGTGCACAGTTAGTACTTTTTCTGGTGAGAGCACTTAGAATCTATTCTCTTAGCAGTTTTGAATAAATCCAAGTATTTTTCAAGATGACGCTAGTACTTACTCCCCGAATTTTCTTTTTTTTTTTATATAAGTTTATTTATTTATTCACTTTACATCTTATCTGAATTTTCATTACCTAAATTTTCAGTATCAAAATCAAGAACTAACAAACCATGGAAAAGGTCTATAAACACTGGTGTTTTACCACCCAGAGACATTTCAAGTGGCAAGATTTTCATGCCTACTTCTCTATTCCCCTCAAAAGAACACTCTAAAACACACACACACACAAGAGCTTGTTAGTGAAGCGAGTAATTGACTCTTTTTGGATAAGAATCAAGAATTACACAATCAGCCTAAAAATCTTGCTGTCAAAAAATTAAAACTTGCTCAAAAACTAGTGAAGGTACATTAATGGATATAGAAGAAAATTACAACAAACTAGTGCTGACTAAGGTTGTAATAAAATGAACATAAAACAAATAGAACATAAAGAAAATATAAATTGTAGTTGATTTAAATATTAAATCTATGAAAATACATTCATGTAGAAAAGTGATTTTAAAGAGTATCTATTTAAGATGCCTATTAAATCAACCCCTCACTGTGAAGCCAGGAGTTAACAGTAAAGAATTCAATCTCTGGTCTGCCTTTCTAAGAGATTTGTATTGAAGAGCACCAAACAATCCCAGCTAATGAAGAAAAGCTGTCTAACCAAGTATCAGCTGGTGCAAAACAAAGTATTAAATTGGAAAAAAAATGATAGTTCTGCAAAGTTACTGATTAGGAGAAGCTATTAATTGGCATTCAGAACATTTAAAAATCTAAAAGAAAAATTAACTTTTATATAATGTCACAATGATGCTGCAGACAACACTATTCCATCACAAGGCAAGAAGGTAACTTTACAAAAAGTATTGGGGCATTATCACTTAACACTATGATCAAAATTAAGACCACAAATGGCAGGGCAGTCAGGGAACAAGTGTACAACAGAAAGTACATATCATCTATGATGTATTCTTGTTAAAACTTTTATTTTATTTTTTTACTTAACCCAGACTTTAGATCTAGTTCTTAGATCTAGATCCAGGAAGTGCAGAGGTTAGCAGGATGGCTTGAATGCACTCTGAAGAAGCAGTTGGGAAGTCTAAAGATGGGCTAGCTTACAAAACAAGGACAATTATCACAGGGGAAGGACTGCTTTCAATTAAGTGAACTTTAAGGATCATATTAACTACATGCAATGCATGATCTGGGACTGGACCCTCATTTGAACAGATAAGACATGAGTGACAGACTAGAGATGACTGAGATGATGTTGCTATGGACAAGATATTAGATGTCACATACAACACATACAATACATACACATACAATTCTGACTACATAAGAAAATGCTCTGAAGTCCCACACAGTGGCACATCTGAAAGTCAAGCACTTCAGAAACCTGGTATTGCTACTGGAACCAACCAGGATCTAAACTAGACAGTACTTCCCTAGGTCATTCAAAACAGACAGGCCTCCCTGGACCCAGCTCTGTCCCTGAACACACAGGCACACAAAATGTGAGCGTCTCTTTCTTATCTGTATACTTCCTGACTTCTCCAGGATCTCTATGCAATCTGAAAGTGACTACCTACTTCTCAGAAGAACGGGAGTTTACAGAGACTATGCACATAATGACAGACAGGCCTGTGTAGACACTTTGCCCATCGCACATGTGAATTTACTCAACCACTCATTCAACAAACGTGTGTTGAACTGCCTAGGCCAAGGGCTGAGCCATTTTATGAAAAAGTTAACTTCCGGGTTTAAAACAAATACAACAGAACAAAAATCAAATAAAGAAATAGAAGGGAGCGCCAGAGAAACAGAGAAGATATGCGGGTGACTCCACCAGCTTCCACTTGGTGCAGTGGTTCTCCTTTGCACTAACCAATGCAGAATGCAGAAATGCATTGCCTCCAGCTGAATTCCAGACCTCCTGAATCTGAAACTCTGGGATGCCGCCAGGGGATCCATGCCTTTCGGGTGATTCTGATGCAGCTGAAGTTTTAAAAGCCACTGAGCTAGAATAATCTCCAAAATGGGAGTTGAATGTGCTATTTCTTCTCTTGAGCTAGATCTCAGATGTAAGCATCCTGTACTAAATGAACCTCTGCTGTTAAATTATTTCATCTGCCACCCAAAGAGCTTCTAAAAGCAAGCCACGAATGTCGTTTGCAGTTCACCAACAACCACAATCTCTTTCCACTAGGGTGGATAGACAGGCTGTGTCAGGGTTAAAGAAAGGAAGCACGTGCCCTCTGAGACTACTACAGTATTCTCAAAGATCATTTTGCTGTAGTGATGTTTTCACCTCTCCCACTGACTTCTAGACCTAGCCTTCTTATGAGATATTCCTTTTAACTTCTGAAAACGGCTCACAAAGAATCAGCTTTGAAAGCCTGGGTGTTTATATGCCATGATAAATACAAGTCAGGACAAGTTCTGGCCAGAGGAAAACCTTTCATCTAGAATTACAAAAGCCTCGGGAACTTCGGAAACAGAGACAGCCCTGTTCTCCTCTTAGGCCACACACAGGCAATCCGGCTCCTGACCATCGTTTTTTAACTGTTGAGACTTTGAAGGGAAATAGGAAGGAAGTGCACCTTTGGGAGAAGGACAGAAAGTTCACATTAACAGACATGAACTTGAATCTCTGCTGGCCGTAAGGCCACGCATGTCCCTTAACCCCTAAGCCCAGTGCCTTCCTATATGACATTAGGATGACAGTATATCATGCAAAGAATCGCTAGAGGAGAGAGAAAATGAACTGAAAGCACCAAGTTCCTGATTATGTAAGTGCCCAATAAATGTGCATTCTTTCCACCTGATGGCACAGCAACACTAGAAACGGGTACTCAAGATGCGCAAGAGATATGAAGCTCTTCTGAGAATTATGGGAGCTATTCTTACAGGTTGGAAAACTCCTATATTCTAAGGCATCTGGGTATTGAAGAGCTGGTAATACACTGTCCTTTGCACAACATGAATCCCCACCATCCTCCTGGCTCCCTCCTGTCATCAGGAACATCAGCTGCAGCTAAGAACTGAGTTTTCAATACCTAGCGGTCACACACATATACACACACACAAGGGACAGCATGCCCTCTGCTGTCCAGACTGAGACACACATGTCACTTTCCAAGGCCTCCAGACTTTAGAAATCACAGCATGAAAGGACTGCAGAGGCCATCTGACCTCTGCTCTAAGCAAGCTGAGCACAAAGGACTCAGACGCCTTGGCCAGCATCAACAGAGATGGACCCTCTGGTGATTTCCATAACTTGGCTTGAGGATGTAACCAAAATGGGTGACAGGACCGTGACAGCCTCACAGGCATGACTTGGGAAAGGAAGTGCACTTTGGGCAAGCACAGCAGTTCTTCCTAAAATACAGTAAAAAAGAAAAATTCAAAATATGCTTCCTGCTTCACCATGTATAAATGCAGAAAGGGTCCGTGAGCAGAAAGGGCAAGAAGGAATAGGGACACCCTCTAAATAAAATCTACGGAGGCAAAGATACACGTTTGCATTTAAGCATGGTTGGTGACAATTTGAGGCAGAGAGGGTGAAAAAACACAGAGTACCTGCTTCATACCATCAATCACCTGGCCGTCTCCAGTCAGAATTGGTGCTTTGGTGTCCCCAAAGCTAGAACAGGATCAGAGAGCGTGGTTTCTCATTTATTTCTGCTTTGAAGCCTTTAATAACTTGCTTCAATGCTTTATCTTTGTTCCCCTATATAGTATAGATGCAGGAGCTTTAAGGATCAAATAATATTAGAGGAAACAATACCCCAGGTGATCATGTGTGGAGACAGGGAAGGAACAAGACTGTCCAAAAGGAAAACACTCCTAAAAGCAGGAATTCTTCCTTCCCTTCTCTTCACCAGCCACCCCAGAGATCTCATTTACACTGCTTGCTTGCCTGTTGTTCTTGTTGATGTTATATTGTGTTGTGTTGTGGTCTTTTGAGTTTCCAGGACTGAACCCAGGGTCTCAAGCATGAGAAGCAGAAGCTGTCCACATACCATACTGTCTCTCCACTTTGATAAGGAAGACAGGCATTTCTCAGTTACTCTCCAACTGAAATCATCTGTCTACCTCACAGTGCCTTATTTTTCACACATCCTTTTGCCCTGAAAGAATCAGAGTACAGAATGGTACTCTCTTCTTCTGTCCTTTTCTTGAGGAGAGCCACAGAGCTTGTGAAAAAGAAATTGACAAAATGAGGAAGGAAGAATATAAGTAATGTAGAAGACTCCTTTGTTGAAAAAAAAATGTGATGTAGCTGGGTGTGGTGATACACACCTTTAATCCCAGTACTTCGGGAGACAGAGTCAGGCAAATCACTGTGAGTTCAAGGCCAGCCTGGTCTACAAAGTGAAGCCAGGACAGCCAAGGCTATACAGAGAAACCCTGTCTGGAAAAAATAAATAAAAAATGTGGTGATTCATCCTCCTATATAATGGATAATTTGAAAGGCAAGATGAAAAGACCTACCACAGTACCCATATAAGACAGAAACTGTATTAATAAACATAAAATGGATACAGTTCAAAATGACCAGTTTGTTCATGTTTCTGAGGATGTGGTCCTCATATGTTCAGGAATATGCTATAACTTAATAACTAGTGATTGAG